CATTGATGTTTCTATCTCCCTCTCCCTTCCTCTCTGAAATCAATAAAAGTATTTTTTTTTTAAATCCAAACTATTCTGACACTTTGGAGAACTACAAGAAGGGCTGATAGAAAAAAAAAACCTCCTAGTAAATGTAATTAAAAAAATAACAGTTTGACCATGTATCACTTTGGAGAACTACAAGAAGGGCTGATAGAAAAAAACACACAAAACTCCTAGTAAATGTAATTAAAAAATAACAGTTTGACCATGTAATAAGCACTTACTATGCACTAAATTCCATACACCTTCTCTCATTAGTTGGATGCACAGCTATTTGTCTTCTGTGGTCCTCCACAATATAGTTAATTAAAAAGTCTATGAAACTGAAGAGATATTTTTATCTCTGTAGCACCCAGGCCTAACTGATGATGTTCAGGCTCCCCCTTTCCCCATGGGCCACTTCCTCTTCTTACTGTTTTCACTTAGAAAAACAGAGAGGACTCCTGGTGACACACAATGCCATAGTGCCATCTGAAGTGGTTTCCTCGGTATCTGTAGCTAGGAAACAGACGGCAAGTGCACATGCCATTTTTATCACCTGAAGAGTCAGTGAGTGTCTCAGGTAGAGTTCTCACAGCAGCAGGCCTGAGCCAAGGATTCGGAGGCAAGTGACTTACTGAGAAAGGGCTTGCAGGAGAAACCAATAAGCGAGTGGGGGGTAAAGGGTACAGAATGGGAAGAAACCAAGTGAGGGTGTGATTTCAGAAGTCCCACACTCAGCCTGTTCTCAGGGTGAGCTCTAGAACAAAAACAAACCTCAGAGTTTGTTTTGTCTCGAAGCGAAGGAGCTGGGTTTTCCTGTCTTAGGCCACAAGCTGCCCAGGTGAAGTGGGTGAAATGTAAAACTCCCAGGTACTTCCAGTTCACTTCAGTGCCTGCGGGTAATCTGAGGGCTAGAGATAAGGTGCAGGTGCTAGTTGTTGGCAGCAAAATATGAAAAAGCTGGTGATGAGATCAGTCTGCTACTGTGAGTTTCCTGTTAACATCCTCTGATAGGAACATCTGCTGAGCTCACAACACATGCCATCCCAGACTTCTGTTAAAAGTTCCAAGTTTCTAAGGGGCTAGCATTAAAGCGTGAATGCCTCTGAACTCAGACCTGAGTTTGAATTCTAATTCCACAAAAGGAATGGGAAAAGTCATACTCCTCGCTTGACTCTTCATCATCATATTCATAAAATGGGATAATTATGCCTACATCATAATGTTTATTCATGTAATCATTTGTTCAATAAATATGGAAGTCTAGTCTATGCCAGGCACTGTACCAGGGATGTTCTGACAAGGGGAAGGTGGTAAGAAGGGCACTGGAAAATGTAAAGCTCTAGGTATCTGCTTTTACCTCCAGTGGTTCTTCATTTTCACAGCTCACGAGAATGTACAATAATCTAAAACCACAGCAAGGAGGTAGATACAAGGGAAAACTTCTTGGCGCTTAACTGGGGGGAAAGAAAACCCCACAAACGGCTTGGGTAGAATTCCTTTCCCTAAGGGGCTTAAGTAAAAGATGGTCCTCACTCTGGACAATTCCTCCAAAGGTTAATCTGTAAGCAGAGCTCTTTTATTTTTTTGGCAGTCTCAGGGTTTCTGAAAATGGTTTTTCTTTCTTTTCTTTTTTTAAAAGGCTTTTATTGAGAAATCAGTTATTCAGAGAGAAGTTTCACTTTTTTTAAAAAAAATGATTTTGGAGAGAGAGGAAAGGAGAGGGAGAGAGAAACAATAATGAGAGAGAAACATTGATCTGCTGCCTCCTGTATGCACTCCATTGGGGATAAAGCCCACAACTTGGGCATGTTCCCCGACTGGGAATTGAACCTGTGGACGGACAGTGTAGCAGACGACACTCAACCAACTGAGCCACACCAGCCAGCTTGCCTTTGTTCTCTTAATTGGAACACTATTTGGATTTCTGCCTGAATCAGGGCTCCTGATTTTTTTTTTTAATCTCAAAGATATGCTTGTTGCCACTCACTATGAAAGGCCTTTTATTTTTAGGTTAGCAGTCATAAACATCTTGAAACAACTGCTACTTGGACTTTCTGTCTCTGTCGTTTGCATACTGGAACTAGCCAATCCCTGCGAACCTAGCCAGCAAGCATTCATTTGCGTTTTGTGGTTTTTGCCTTTATGGACCCTGCCTTTCTTTGTTCTCTCCAAAGTGCAGTTTGAGTTGCTACCTGAATCTATGTCTCTTGGATTGCAATCCTTTGCTCAAATAAGTGCTTTTTGTTTCTTATTATAGTCTAAATCTCTTCTTTGGTTAATAGAACCATGACATTGAAGACTGAAAGTTGCACTATATTGATGGCTCAGATTCAGATATGGTATTGCTGGTTGTGGTGTGATTCTCTGAATGGTGAATATCTTTAAAACTTGAACAACAAACAAAACTTGGTAGTTGCATTTCTGAAAAACTCAGTGTGTATGGGCTTGGCATAGTAGTCGATAAATATTCAAGGAATAAATTAAAATAATTGAAAAATCAAGCATGTTTTTACATGTGATTGTAAAGCCCAGATTATAAGCAGGTTTTTCATACGTGTGTGTGTGTGTGTGTGTGTGTGTGTAGGGTGGGACTCCTGTCCTTCAGCCTCTAATACAGTGGTTCTCAACCTTCTGCCCTTTAAATACAGTTCCTCATGTTGTGACCCAACCATAAAATTATTTTCGTTGCTACTTCATAACTGTAATGTTGCTACTGTTATGAATCGTAATGTAAATATCTGATATGCAGGATGGTCTTAGGCGACCCCTGTGAAAGGGTCGTTTGACCGCCAAAGGGGTCGCGACCCACAGGTTGAGAACCGCTGCTCTAATACCTGCAGTGACCCCATTATTGAAACAACCAAAAGTAAGTCTTATTAATTTACCAAATTCCTCTTTAAGAAACATACTGCCTTAATTGACAACCACCCTTTAGAGTTGCTGATCCAATGACTAAAGAGGAGGCGGGACAACCCCAAACACAACAACCCCGCCCTCCCCGTTTCTCAGAAACCATGAGACTTCGGAGAAACAGGAAACTTAGGACTGGAAAGTCCCGTTTTCTAACCTATAACAGCACTTTTTGACCAAATACCAGTGACGAGCACTCCGGGCTCGAGTTTTGATTGGGCTGTTGAAAAACTAAAACAGCGAGTTAAAAAGGGGAACACCCCAGTGCTTTCCGCCGCCCGGTTGGTGGGAGTAAGTGCCGCGACGCCTCGCTAGGTGACCTGGGCTCTGTTCTTCGCTGGGCACTGCTGCCAGCCTGGGCGCGTTCCAGGTGTGTACCCCCTCCCGCGTCACCCTCTCCCTCTGCATCTTTCTCTCTCTCTCTTTAAAAAAAAAATATTTTATTGATTTTTTACAGAGAGGAAGGGAGAGGAATAGAGAGTTAGGAGCATCGATCAGCTGCCCCTGCACACCCTCCTACTGGGGATGTGCTCGCAACCAAGGTACATGCCCTTGACCGGAATCGAACCTGGGACCCTTCAGTCCGCAGGCCGACGCTCTAGCCACTGAGCCAAACCGGTTAGGGCTGCATCTTTCTCTTTACCTGCCGGTTCTTCCTGGCTCTTTGACTCCGGTCATCCCCGCCCAGGTTCAGCTCGTTGAGGCTCCTTCGGGATCAGAGAAGGAAGCCACGGAGAGGCCAGAGTGTGGCACACGGTTGGATAGCTACCTGGGTAGGGGGAGAGGAACAGCACAAAATATATAGGTTTTTGATGAGCCGCTGGCGCGTGAGTGGGGTTGGGGGTGGTGGGCACTGCTTCCCAGGCTGCCCAGCCTGCTCCCAGAGGGTTCGCTTTCCCTGGGCGCATGAGAAGGGGGAGAGGCCGGTGGGTCACGAAAGGCAAACACATAGGTAGTTGAGAGTGTCAGCATAAGAAACAGTCAAACCCTCTACAAATTTTGTGAGTTCATTTGAGCCAATCTGTCAACAATTGCTGAGAAGCAAAATCTCTACGGATGGAGAAAACGGTCCAGAGAATGGCAGTTTTGCATCTTTTTTTTAAACATTATAATCAAAAGAGGAGGCATAAATGGGTTACATGAAACCCATTGATGATAGATTAGGGAGGTAGGATAAAGCAAGTGGGGGGACCTCTGGGACTGGATTAAAAGTAAAATGATGGACATATCTTTTACATAGGTGGGTAAGGATAGTTAAAGGTCTGTAATGAACGGTCTGCAATGAATGTGGTCACAATAACAATGAAAGGATTTGTGGTCCCCCACCCTGGTGCATTGGCTGTGCCCTGAGGGGTCTGGAACCCGGACCTTACCCTGACATTCCAAAGGTATGTTATGGAAGATGCAAAAAGACAATAGACAGGCTTAATTAAGGTAAAGATTGACTTTTGTCAGGTAAGAGTCTAGCCTAGGACATGACTATCTGCCACAAACTGCTTTTAGTTAAAAAGTTTTAATTTCAGACCATCCTATGTGGTTACTTTAGGCCGTTGAGTTTGTGAGGCTGCCATGCAGGCCTTCCCTGGGCTTGTCAGGTTTAGTATGTGGCCCCTTTTCATCCACAAGGGTAGTGATTGGTGAGAGGCAGGTGTCTGTGGGGCCAAGAAAAGTATTGTCTAGATAAGTATGTCAGTGCTTCTGATGGAGTGCTGAGCCCTGCACCCTCTTCTGGGCTCACCCCATTTTCCTCTCGAGCTCCATACCTCCTCAATCAGGTTCTAAGACTTGTGTCTCAATCCAGATTGTGTCAGCTGTTTTGTATAACATTTCTATGACAGCTTATGTGTTTATTTTGGCAAAAGCCTTATTGAGATATAATTCACAAACTATACAATTTACCTATATAAGTATATAATCCAGTGGGTTTTAATATATTCACAATGTTGTGTAACCATCACTTCAATTTTATTGATTTGTTTTTGTTTTTCAGAAAAAGAGGAAGGGGGAGAGAGAGAGAGAAACATCCATGTGAGAGAAAAACATCGATTGGTTGCCTCCCATACACGCCTGCAACCTTTTGGTGTATGGGAGGACACTTCGACCAACTGAGCCACCTAGCTAGGGCTCATCTCCTCAATTTTAGAACATTTACATCAACCCCAAAAGAAACTCTATATCCATTAGTAGTCACTCCCATTTCTCCCCATGGATTTGCCTATTATTGACATTTCATATAAATGGAAGCATACAGTAAGTGGTCTTTATGATTGACTTGTCACTTATTATGTAGTTTTCAAAGGTCACCCATACTACAGCAAGTATCAGCATTTTATTCCTTTTTGTGCTAAATTATTCTCCATTGTCTGGATATGCCACATTTTGTTTATCCATTCATCAGTTAATGGGCATTTGAGTTGTTTTCACTTTCCATTATTATGAATAATGCTGTTGTCAATATTCATATACAAGTTTTCCATGTGAACCTACGCTTTCAATTCTCTTGGGTATAAACCTAGGAGTGGAATTGCTGGGTCATCTGGTAACCCTATGTTTAACATTTTGAGGAACTTCCAAACTGTTTTCCAAAGCTATCACACCATTCATTTTACATTCCCATCAGCAGTGTATGAGAGTTCCAATTTTTCTGTATCCTTGCCAATACTTATTATCTTTTATATTATTGCCATCGTACTTGCTGTGAAATGGTATTTCATTATGGCTTTTATTTGCCTTTTCTTAATGACTAGTGATACATTATTTTAAAATTACAAAATAATTTATAGAGCTTTCATAAAGTTTTGAGAACTTTAATCATCTAGGCCACGTACCCAAAAGCCACAGAGAGGAGACTCAAACCAAACTCTCTGTGATGAGTGCTTGAACTCCATCCCCTCTTTCCTAGAACAGAATCCGGGCTAAAACTCTTCAAAACTCCACTTGCTGCCTCTATTAGAAAGAGAATTCTGGGCAAGATGAAACTTTTGTACATGAACTCAATAGTTCATTTCTTAGTTGCTATTAGAAACTCAAATATGCACAGAACTTTTTGGTCTCTCCATTTTTACTTTGTAAAAAAGTGTATCCTGGAATTCCTCCTAATGGATCTTGAGTGAAGTCGTGACCCTTTCTTGGTGTTTATGATTGTGTGCCCTTCTCCCCCTACCGTCAGGACATGGAATAAGGAGGGACACAAAGCTTAAGCTTTGTTTAAATGCATAACTATCAAAAATGTTTGATATACATTTTCGCTATATATCTTTACAGTTTTTTACTACTGTCAATCTTATTTTAAATATTAATAAAGCTTACTTTTTTCTCATTTTTCAGTTAAAAATTCAGTTTTATAAGTGGCTCCCAGAAGCTTCACACCCCCTCGCCCCCGTGGGAACACAGCCGTTGTGGAGGTGGAGCCAGGACTGGAACCAGGATCAGTGTTCAGATAGACTCGAGAATCTGGACTTTAAATTCTTATGTAAGTCAGAGAGTGACTGACCATCATCTGTGAGACACTGAGGACTTTTAACATTCACTGTAAACTGAGGCCTGGATCCAAAAAGCACAATGAATGCAAGTACATGCTACGGTAGTGTGGTGAATTCTAGACAAGCTCGAGAATTTTGTACAGCTCGGGGAGGAGGCCCAATTCCTGAGGTGGTCTTGGAATCGGAACTGATAGAACTCGGAGAAAGTGAGGAAGTGGTTGACCTCACCTCTGACTCTCTCGAACCTGCAGTGATTGACCTAACTCACCATGACTCTGTTGTGATGACTGAGGAAAGGAGGAGGCCAAGGAGAAACAAAAGGTCACTCCAAGGACAAACTGGCATCTGTGTGCTGAGCAGTGAAAAGAAGGGGGTGATGAGAGACAGAGATGTATATGCCCTGGAAAAAGAAACTTTTAGGTGCACACTACCTGGTTATGTCCAGTGCCGGATTTGTATGGACGGGTACTTGGAGATTGAATTGAGTAGACGGCATATCTATTCTACAGAATGTGGCCACATCTTCTGTAGTCGGTGCCTCTGCACTTTCCTTAGAAATACTAAAAATTGCCCAGTTTGTTTGAAAAAAATTGACCGCCATCAGTACCACCGAATTTATATATAACGTGTGCTTTGTTGCTCAGGATAGACAAACCCCCTGACTGGATTTTTCCACGTCTTTGCGCAGAAACTATGGAGTTGTTGGTATCCAATGCTCTGAGCTCCGAAAGTCTGATTTTAAACATTGTTCTCTTGAGTGTATGAAAACTCTTTTATTGCTCACAAATGACGAGGCTGCTTTTTTATTCCTTTGGCTTCATGCTGCAGGCCTGGACTTTTGTTGCTATAGTGAATCAGAAACTGGTGGTTGTCCTCAAAGCAATTTTCCTTTTTTTTTTTTTCTCATAGTAATCAATTTTTAACTGGTCACATGTGGGCATTTTGGATCATGTAAATAAGAGCAACATCCTAGAGACGGGGAAGCAAGTAGATGGAAGGAAGCTGGGAGACAACTCTGAAAACCAGAGCCACAAATACAAGTTTGGACTTTTATGAGATAAATAAATAAACTTCATTCTTTAAGCAACTATTATACTGGGTCTTGTTTAGAGCAATCAAGCCCTTATTTTAATTAATGGACTAGGCAGGGTGCTGTCTCTGGGTTTCTCTGGATTTCCTGATTGCACTGAGTGGAAGGAAGTCAGTCCTACCTGTCCAACCAGCAGGGTGGAGTCGGGTATTACCATGGGTAGGCACCAGGTCCTGCTGGGACTAGTGGCTTTCAAGGCCGGCCTGGGGAATTGCCTAGGCACACTGAAATCTAGAGTTGTGGTTCTGTGCTCTCTGACCTGCTGAGCCAGAGAGCGGCTGCCTTCTCCCTGGCTTTTCAGGTATGCCTGCCTTCTACCACACTGATGAGCTAATCAACAAGTTGGCATGCTTTTCTGAACAAACACATCACTGCCTCACCGTCCCAACTGCTTCAGCAGCCTGGCTAGGTCACAGGCCTTGGGAAGAGCTCCTCCCCTCCCCACCCCAAACACACACACTAGCTTTTTTCTTTTGCAGAGAATCACTTAGCACAGTTCAGCTTGCACTTAGAATTGGAGAGAGCGTGATTTCCATGGTGCTCTTACCTTTTCCTTCAGAATGAAATGTGCAGTGAAGTTTGTTCCTTACTTACAATGGTGGTAGCCGTGTTGCTTTCGTCCACGGAGGCTCAGTCTTACCAATGGAGCAGTGCCCATCCCTGCATCATGACTGTCTACTCACTGCAGTCTCTGGAATGTCCTGTACTCCAGACCTCAGTTGCTTGACTTAGCATAGGATATGCAAGATAAATGTGGTATACTTCCTTCTGTGGGTTCTTGTGTATGTTCTGAAATGAAACGAGGAAGAAAAAGAACATGAAAATGAAAAATAATAGAAGAAAGTTTTAAGTATTATCTTCTTACATTTCTATAGGCCATCTTATGCATCTCACTTTGGAGAGTATTAATTGCTCTGTGACATAGCACAGTGTATCACATACCATATTTTTCTGTGAATAAGATGCTCCCATGTATAAGATGCCCCTCACTTTTCCAACCCAAAATTAAGAAATCAATATTTTAAACATAAAACAGAACACATTTTAAAAAATATATTTTATTGATTTTTTACAGAGAGGAAGGGAGAGGGGATAGAGAGTTAGAAACATTGATGAGAGAGAAACATTGATCAGCTGCCTCCTGCACACCTCCTACTGGGGATGTGCCCGCAACCAAGGTACATGCCCTTGACCAGAATCAAACCTGGGGTCCTTCAGTCCACAGGCCGATGCTCTATCCACTGAGCCAAACCGGTTAGGGCCAGAACACATTTTTATTTAGTAATTACCACAGGTAATGTTTATATACCAGTACTGTGATGTTACGCAGCACATCACTTTATTCAGCCTCTGTTGCATCACTGCTCTTCATCACTATTAGTTCCAGTCATATCAAGTTTTTCAACTTCTATTGTATCACTGCTGTTTTCTGAGTCACTGTCTATATATGTGAGATCACCTCATAAACTGGTGGCATTTTCTGAGTTAACTTTGTTCGTGTTCTCTTGACCAACCCTTCTCTCCTCATGAAATTGCCTTTCCTGTAAAATCAACAATGTTCATTTTGCTTGCAAACATTCTTGCCTGACATTGAATAAGCTTGGTTGACACATATAAGCCACTCTGGTGCTGCTCCACAATCCAAGTCTTAAGCCTCTGCTCCAAGTTTGCCCATTTTGCTGGTTTTCCTTTTAAGGTCTTCTTCTTTTTTGGCATCTTAAGGAGTTGTTCTTCCTGTATTTTCCACTATCTGATCATACACTCAGTGGGAGGAGGTCCAAATGATCTCCGCAGCTCTATTTCCATGCTCTTTTGCATAGCTGATTACATTCAGTTTGAATTTTGCAGAGTAAGACAATCTCTTACCGGTATTTATCTTTTTATTTTGTTGACATCTTTATGGGCTCAGAACGCACTGATCCCCATTGCATCTGTGCACTCTCCACCTCAGTGACAATAAGGCTGGTGATTGGAGGAAGCCTGTTTGACAAGGTATGGGCAGCTCTGCACCTGCGCGGCTCCCTCCTTGGCTGCCTTCCGTGTATAAGATGCCCCTCGATTTTCAGTCTAACAATTTTAGAAAAAAATAGTGTCTTATATGATTTTAGAAAAAAATAGTGTCTTATACACGGAAAAATATGGTAGTTGACCAATAATCAAAACACCCGAGGTGCCTATTAAACACAGATTCTGCTCCTGCATGTATTGTCCATGTGACCCAGATAAAGAGCACACCCTCTCTAATTTGGAAGCAGCCCTCAAATCTCCCTATGGTATTCTACTCAGCCCACTACAAATTTACCTCACCTGCCAAGTTCATGTAGACATTTGAGACTTTGATATTTGATTTAAGGTGAAAAATAGGCTTCTGACTCTAAAGAATAAAGATAAATTTTACAGACAGCAAAATGCACTAGTGTATAATTAGATGAATTTGAGCTAATATACACATTCATATGGCCAACACCAAATAAAAATATAGAAAAATGCCATCATTCCAGAAGTTTCCTTATGCCCCCTTCTTGTTAATTCCCATCCCCAGATGCAACCACTGTGTTGAATAGTATCACAATAGTATGTTTGGGGATACTGACTTATTACTTCATGGTTTGGCCCAGTTTATCAGGGACAAAAATTTGATAGGGATTTGGAGTATAAGTACTAGGGTCAAGTGTTTGTTTTAGTGGGAGCACGATATATTCTCTTAAGAATTAAAGCAAGCCCTGGCTAGATAGCTCAACTGGTTCGAGTGTCATCCCAATACAACAAGTTTGACAGTTTGATTTCGGGTCTGGGCACATACAAGAACCAACCTTGGCTAAGATGTGTAACTCCTCTGGGTGTCATTTCTTCCATCTGTAAAATCTGACTTCCTAAGACTTCCCATCTATCTCTAAAGTTTGTGATTCCAAAACCTACATAGCAAGAGGTCCCAAATTTCACAAGGGGGCATTTAAAATTTTACTTTCACTATTTAAAAACAAAGTTGGGGGTAGAGAGTGGACAGTTATGTCTAAGAAACTACATCTGGTTTTACCACATAATCGGTGGAGGGGGAGACAAAGTCATAAACCAAAGTTGCTTTTCTTTTCCAAGCCTCAATTTTATCATATATAAAATAGAAATGATAATACCTACTTCATAGGATCATTGTGGAACAACAAATTGATGTTTCTCTCCCTCTCTTTCTACAATCAATTAAAAAGGAAAGAATTGAAGCAAGGAGGTATTAATAATGACACCTGCTATTTTTACGCAATAGCTATGTTCCAGACACAGTATTAGGCACTTCGCACATCATGGGCAAAGTATACACTTAGGCAAGAACAGGAACCCAACAAAATGTAGGAGTAGAGGTTGAAGAGAGCTGCCACATGGCACTTAATGTGAATACTTTGGCTACTAGTGTACATGGTTATGAGAAGTGAGAACTAAAGCTACAAGGGAAGGTTAAGGCCACATCATGAGTAGAGCACTGTGTGCTGTGTTATGAAGTTTAGATTTTATTCTACAGCTGCTAAGAAGTCATTAGAGGCTTGGGAGCAGACCACCCAGAGAAAGATTCTTAAGGATTTGGCATGATCTCAGTGAAAGCAGAAGATACTGTTTCAAAGTTGAGGAAAATATATGGAAATGGAATAAAGAAGGAAAGACCCTGGTGTTGATTTCCCTCTAAAAATAGAAGTGTATTTTATGAAGTGTATAAGAAAAAGGAGGAAGTAACCTTGGTCTAAGGCAGTGGTACTCAACCTGTGGGTCGCGACCCCTTTGGCAGTCGAACGACCCTTTCACAGGGGTCGCCTAAGACCATCCTGCCTATCAGATATTTACATTACGATTCATAACAGTAGCAACATTACAGTTATGAAGTAGCAACGAAAATAATTTTATGGCTGGGTCACAACATGAGGAACTGTATTTAAAGGGTCAGAAGGTTGAGAACCACTGGTCTAAGGAATTTAACTGGTACTGTCCTGCCCTTGGATGTCTAACAGTTTCATTTCAGCACAGCCAGCAGAGCTGTGCAAGCCTTGGAGCTTATGGTAGCTCTTGAGAGATTGTCGTTGACCTGAGGTGGCAATGATAGGAGTCCAGAGGGACAGCCGTGGCAGTTTGGGTTTAGCTTTCAGGTAAATAGAAAAATGGATGCTCCTTTGGCAGGAGTGGAAATAAGATTAGCTGAGGCAGACAAATTTATCCACTTGATGCCTGATCTAGCTTTAGGCCCAGTTAGTCCCACAGTGGAATAATTTGGCAATTTCCATTTGTCATTTCCTGATGTTCATTGAGAGGTTACAGCAGAGAATGAAAGCTAAATCCGGGCAGCATTTGATATGGGTCCTTTCCTCTTTCCCTAGCTTTAAGCAGGCAAACAGATCTTTCAGGGCATATTCCCTTCTCCTGTGGAGTGACACGAAGAAGGCATGTGGCCTCAGGTCTGGCTCTGCCAGCATCACTAATCCTCTAAAACAGTGGTTCTCAACCTTGGCTGCACATTAGAATCACCTGGGAATCTTTTTAAAATCCTGATTTCTGGGCCTCATCCTCTGGAAATTCTGTTTCTTTGTTGTGGGGTGGGGCCACAACATTAGTAACAAAGAAACAGAATTTCCAGAGGATGAGGCCCAGAAATCAGGATTTTAAAAAGATTCCCAGGTGATTCTAATGTGCAGCCAAGGTTGAGAACCACTGCTCTAAAAGGAGGGCAGAAGAGCTGTCAGTGGGTGTGACAGGATAGGCAATCAGATACCCACATCATTTGCCTTCCCTGCTGAGAAGAGAGCCTTTAAGGTACTAACTTCTCACTTTGTTGCTGAACAAGCCCAAGCCACTGAAATAGCACCTTCTCTGTTCTCCAATAAGAAGAGAAAAGGTGTTCCAGCCGGTGTGGCTCAGTGGTTGAGCATCGACCTGTGAACCTAGAGGTCATGGTTTGATTCCCCGGCAGGGCACATGCCCGGGTTGAGGGCTCAATCTCCAGTGTGGGGTGTGCAGGAGGCA